ACCAGTGCCCCTGAAGCACCAACATCCTGCTACCAGGTGGCCAGACCTGCCAGTAAATATGTGAGCCTAGGACTCCGCCCACTGGTCCTTTATGGATTCAGCTCAGGTGTCCAGGTAGTTGTCCACCAAGTGTGTGGTGCAGGCTCTCACCTACAGTCCTAGACAGGCATGTGTGATTGGTGTAGGCACAGGCAACTGGCTGCAACAGGACAACACACACTGAGCAAGGCAGGGGGCTGACAGCTGCCCCTGGGCGTCCAGAAGGAAAGCATGTCCCTGTTCCCTAGAGCGCATAGGTGGGTGGGTTTTGCAGCCAGACTATGACCACCCAATGCTGTTGGCTGTAAGGACTGGGAGGCATTTCTTATTCTTGGGCCCCTATCGCAGGTGGCTAAGTTGCATGGGTGGAGTCACCAGTCCTCAGGCCCCTGATGTGGGTAGGTGAAGACCCTGGTTAAGGGGCAGAGCAGTGTCAAATGTCATGGACCTGCCACTTCACAGCTGAAACAGTTCAAGTTAGACTTCAGGTATATATCCTGTTGTAGTGCAGTAATGAGGCCCTACACTGTTGAAATGGGCCCACACAAGTCTATGCAGGGGGAAAGGCACTCAAAGTCCGTGGATCCCTTATGCCTGGGCCTAGGCAAAGGAGCTGTGACTACCCTGAGTTCCTGGTTTAGGGTAGCCAGCAGATTATTTTTTCCCCCGTTTGTTAATTCGTTCCCTTTCCAAGGCCGGGAGAATGGCTCAGGGCATGTAATGGGTCCTACTTCTGGCCAAGGGGACTCAGCAATCTCTGAAGCCATCCTGAACCCAGTGCGGAGCAGGGAGAAGGAAGGTAAATGGGAGAGAGGTTTTTCCCTAAGGGGGGTGTTTTTGGTCTGCGTGGTAGGCCAGACGCAAATACATATCTTTTGCTGATTGAGGGCTGCTTCTCACTGGTTCTGGATGGCCAAGTAGATTCTGTGCCATTGGGTCTCTCCTGATGTGGCAAACGCCTCCTGAGCTCCACTACTTGCCTGCCTCACTGCTTACCCCTGAGCTGATCCAGGCTGAAGGGCTCTGGCTCTCACCAGGTCAGGTCTGGCAACTCCTTGCTGCTTCTGAACTGTCTCTCCTTCCCCCTGCCACTCAGTCCGATTCCTTAACTTTCCCTTTGATGTTCAGGGCTCCTAGATTGTCATATATAATCGATTCACTTGTTTTTTCGGGTTTTTGTTGTAAGAGGGACCACGGAAGCGTCTGACTACTCCCCCTCTTGGCCCTGTACCTCAACAGGGTCTCCCTGGCCCACTCCCACAGGGCCTCCCTGGCCCACCCTCACAGGGCTTCCCTGGCCCACCCCCACTGGCCCAATATAGACACTCTCGGTTCTGTTTCCTGTGGCTCTGTAAAAACAATTCCCACTCTCTAGATAATCTCAAATTATCTCTAGGTGAGGTGTACTTTCCAAAAACAAATAGCACAAGATAGCAGTGGGGAGGCTGCAAGATGACCTCTGGTTGACCTGGACCCACAGTCTCTGCTTCCCACAGACTGGACTTCTGTCCTCCCCTGCAGCGTCTGCAGTATCAATCATCCATCTACCCCTTTAAGAAAGGCAGGCAGTGTAGACCCTAAAGGACATAATCTTTGCCCAAGTGTTATCTATAGCTATAGCCAATCATTAACCCAGGGAGGGAGGAACCACACCTCAAAACCAAGGTTACCTGCCACAGGGGAACTGAGCAGGGCAGCAGAGCAGGTGTCAGAACCAACTCACATGGCAATGCAGGACCACGTGTGCAGGGACAGAGTCAGGGACCAGCTTCACCCCAGCTTTTCTGTTGAGGCCCCCCCTCTGCCTCCATTTTCCTGGGTTCTCTCTTAAAGGCTTCCCCCCTCCTGGACCTCCATCCCACATGTCTATGGAGGTACACAAGGGGCTTCCCCATTCTAACCACCTCCTCCTGAGATCCCTCATCCATCTCCTTCTCTGCGGTAACAAAACCCTCCTGACTGGTGATTGGTCCCCTGCCTAGAATGCCCTCTTCTTCCTAAGACCCCCATGAGCTCTTCTCTGTGGGGCCCCAGGGTGGCAGCACCCAGCCACAGTGCACACATCACTGCTCTGTGAGGCATCTTTGGGAGGATGAGGGTCCCGGAGACGCTGCAGTCCAGGAGGGGGAATCTCCCTCTGAACTTCTGCCAGACTGACCCTCTGTGTCGCTTGGGAGGCACTCATTCTGTGCTTTCCTGTGTTAAAAAAAAAAAACCAAACCTGTTGCCATCAAGTCGATTCCGACTCATAGAACTGCCCCATAGGGTTTCCAAGGAGTGCCTGGTGGATTCAAACTACTGACCTCTTGGTTAGTAGTCGAGCTCTTAACCACTGAGCCACCAGGGCTCCTGCCTTATGATAGTACTTATCTTTTACGTACACTTTTATGTACTCCTTCAGAGAGAAAAAAAAGAAATATTTATATGCCCCCCTCACTGCCTGCTTATGCAACTCCACCTTCATCCTCCAAGCACTGAACTTGCACTGATTAATGCTCAGCAGCCCCTCTATTCAGCCACTTAGCCTTTCTTCTTAGGCCTCTCTTTGACTTATTTATGGGCATCCATTGCAGAGTTGAGGCAAACCTACACCTCAGTGCATGGACCTAATTGTCTAGGGCCCATACAAGGCCTCTCTCGTCTGTAAAACAGCCAAACTAGTTGCCATCAAGTCAACTCCAACTCATGGCGACCCCATGTGTGTCAGAGTAGAACTGTGCTAGATAGGGTTTTCAATAGCTGATTTTTCACAAGTAAATCACCAAGTCTTTCTTCCGAGGTGCCTCTGGGTGGACTCGAACGTCCAACTTTTGGGTTAGCAGCTGAGCATGATAACTCTTTCCACTACCCAGGGCCTCTCATCACCCCCCAGGCAACCATTCTAGTGTGCTTATATCTTTTTCTGTGTACTTGTTCTTGCATTGTGTGCATGGGGTTTAGTTTGTGGAACCACACTGTGCTCTGTAACTCACCCTCTTAAGTATTCTGTTCTGAAGACCCACACGCCAAGGGAGTTGCCATGTGGACAGTCACTCTAGTAGTGGAAACCATTGTGCACATCCCATCTGGGAGCCAGTGTGGGGATGTCTTTGGGAGACATGATGAGAAGTAGGATTGTTGAGTCCTGAAGGGTGTGCTGTCAGGCATGTGATCATACCATCCATGTCCCCTCCTGCCACATTGAGCAGGGGTTCCCTATTTCCCCACATCCCTGCCGACACCTGGCAATACCAGTTTTCTCTGTTATGCCAGTGACAGTTATAAAATTATACCTCCTTGTTGAATGCTTTGCATTTTTCTAATAACCACTAAGTTTGAGCATCTTTTCATATGCTCTTTAGCCCTTTGGTTTCCTCTTCTGTAAGTTGTCTTTGAGATTCCTTTCCCATGTTTTCATTGAGATGCCTGCCTCTTTCTGGCTGACTTGCAGGAGTTCCTTGTGTGTTCTAGACATTAGTCCCTTTCACTTTTATCACTGTATCTTCTCCCAGTCTGTCCTTATCCCATTAACTTTATCCATGGTGTCCATTGTGGAGGAGAAACAGATTACATTTCCCAGTGTCAGATCATTCCTCCACGGAGTTGGAGCCCCACAACTGAGAATCTCCAACTCTTAATCCTCCAGACCAGTCAGAGGGAAAAAATCTCAGCTTAGCCATTACATCAATCATCATTCTAGTATTTAAAGTTAATCCCCTTCCCCATAGACACTCAATTTTTTGGAGCTAAACCTACACCTCAGTGCATGGATATTATCACCACTGACCCATGCAAGGCCTGTCTCTTGTCTTTCTTATTTCTTACTTATTTATCCATTTATCTATATTCCTCACTCCCATCCCCACCACAACCATTCTAATGTGTTTAATGCTTACTCGAATCTGCTTTTGAAAACTGATCAGGCTGCTTTGTGTGCATGTGTTTTCATTTGTGTAACCATATTATGTTCTAAAATTCATTCTGTCTCTTATTTTTTCTTACTATGCCCTTTGCAATTGCAAACAAGTACCAAACTGATTAATGGTGTTCTCCTTTCTCCCTTCATGCAGCTGTCAATAAACACTGAAGGGACCCACGTGGTGAGATATGCAAAACCCACATCATCACAGGAGAATGTGCAATCCTCAGCAGTTCTCCAGTGTGCACTTTTCCCACTCTGCTCTTCCCCCTAACGGGCATTCCCTCCTGGGCCATGTTGCCCTTCCCACCTAACTAGGCAGACTCATTCATGTGCTCCTCCCTGTTCAGGTGCCCATCAGGCCTTACTTCCTTTCTCCTCCCTGTGGGCCATGGCCTCAGACCTCCTGACCATAGATGGTTAATGAGACTCCTTCTAGAATCTCAACACTGTGGCTTCTCTCATCCAAAATACTCTGGCTCTGGCTCCCTCTTCTACATAGGGTCAAAGTCTGCTCTTGATGCCAGTGTCAGTCCCCATCAGCCCTACCTGTTACTGTACATCTGCTTCAGGTGACACTACCTGCTAGTAAATTTCCCCTGTCCTCATCTCTGCCCACAGAGCCCTGGTGGTGCAGCAGTTAAGAGCTACAGCTGCTAACCAAAAGGTTGGCAGTTCGAATCCACCAGCTGCTCCTTGGAGACCCTATGGGGCAGTTCTGCTCTGTCCTATAGGGTGGCTATGAGTCGGAATCGACTCAATGGCAACAGTTTTATCTCTGTCCACAGAAGCTCACCAGTTGCTTTAAGGAATGATGCAGGCCCAGCTCTGAGCAGGGAGCCAGTGTGGGGGAGGACTGTTGTGGATGGTTCCCCAGTGACAGGAGTGATGAGGAAGCATATCAACACATGTGTTGTAAGGGAATCAAACACAAATGAACCCTGGGCATCAAGTGGGGAAGGGAGGGGCGTACTCAGAACTTGGACACCCAAAAGGGGAACAGAAGCTTCCCAGGCTGCAGCTGCCAGAGCCCTGGGCATTTCCTCATACTGCTGCTCTCACCCTGTGGAACCCACTGAACCGCAGGTCCCCACCTCAGTTGGCCCATGCCTCACCCTGTCCCTCCCTCCCAGGGCAGGGTCCAATAGACCCATATAGCTGCAGGAAGCCCAGTCGGAGACCAGAGCAGGGACAAGGACCGACAGCGGAGGCACACCTGGAGCAGAGCACGCAGGTACATTCTGACCCGACACCTGGGAGAGGCAAGGGGGCTGAGTGGGAAGGGGAGAAGAGCAAGGGAAAAAGGGAGCAGAGTGAGGAGGGCAGAACTGAACAAACAAGAGGGGGAGGGCCAGGGAGCAAGGGGTACCAGAGGCAGGAGCTTAAGGGAGTTGTAGAGGCTTTGGATCTGCCCTTGTAGTGGGCAGTGAGCATAAGGCAGTCAGCGAGATGAGGGACCGATGTAGGGATGTGGGAGACGAGAGGTCACACCTGCTTTGTGTTTCCTTTTCCTTCGTGGGCTCATTGCCACGTTACCTCGCCCACTGTACACCTCACTCACACCTGAGTCTTGTGGGGTCCAGCCAGGGAGGTGGTCACAGGTCCCATCTAGACTCAGAACCATGGGTCTCTGCCTCAACTCCCTCCTTCCTAGGAAAGCAGAAAGAACTCTGGGGATAAGAGGTTATAAAACAGAGCCCAGCCAAAAGTTAATAGTAAGACAAGACCGCAGCCTACGCCCAGCATCCCTGGCCACACCCAGCAGAAACGCTGGTTCTGGGTCCTCCCACAGCCTGTCCTGCCTGTTGTGCCCAGGCTGGGTCCTGGAGAGCACAAGACCATGAGGTCCCTGGCCTTCCCACCAGCGTCAGAGCAGCAAAGGGAGGTCCCAGGATGGCTTGTGTCCCAGAAACAAAACCAGAACCATACTGGAGCTGGGGGCAGGGGCTTAGATCACCAGGGCAGAAAGCCAGGGAAAGAAAAGCCACAGCTCCCAGGTGACAGCGCAGACCCACCAAACACCATTCACTGATCTCCGTATCAAGAAATGCACATTATGTACAAATTACATACAACATTTGTGAATCGAGTATGTGACATGGGAAACACATTTTCAAAAAACCAGAAGCCAGAACAAAAGCTTCTCTGGTGGAAGGCTCTCCTTCCAGCCCAGGAAATGCCCCGGAAGGGAAATGCTTCTGCACCTCAGTAACAGGTGATACAATTGTGCGGCCGTGTGTGGTGAAACGCACCTCAGGCCCCGGGTAGCCAGAGCACCTGCTCTGCACCGAAAGCCTGTCCGGAAGGTGGGCTTTGGCCACGCCGAACCTGGGGGGCTGGGCAGACGCTGCTGAGATCCGGGCAAATGTAAGCCTTCTGTACCTCTCGGTTTGGGTAGGAGAGATTGTTTCCTCGAGGTTTATCGCTAGGTGATCTGATTTGGGGAGAAAAGGGCAATTAGAAGGCAGGGACCGCTCAGAGTCCTCTCAACCCCTCACAGGCGTAGCTGGTCAGTCAGGCGGCTGACCTCGGCAGTGCCTGCACAAATGAAAAGAAAATTTGGGGGCGGGGGGAGCTTGCGTGGCAGGCGGGACTCAGGTCAGCCTAGAGCCTCCACAAAGCTCGCTGTTCTTATGTGGAGGAGTGTCTCCCAAGCTGCACACAGACAGTGGGCACCTGAAGGTGGCCGTCCGTACATGGGGAGGACATCATGGTACCATCAAGGCATCCCGGCCTCCCAGGAGTCTGAAGCCTAGGCTCCACCCACGGGATTTTACTGGCAGTTCTAGAGATGAGGTTATGAGGTGAAGACCACACCTACCCCCAGAATGAAAGGGTAAGGGCATCACTCCTGAATCACCACCTGGGTCACCCAGCTGCACACGCCCTCCTAGTAGGCTCAAGATGGTCAAGCCACCACACCTGGAGTGCCCACTGCAGGGGCCTAAGAAGCTGGACAGGACTGCCCCACTGCCTACACCCTCAAAGCTACAGGTCTGCAACCTGATGGAAGTGGAATCCTTCCACATCGCTTAAAATTTTAAATGTGCTGGCATCAACAGGTTGTATCCTTATGACTTATTTAAAAAGAATGGAAGTAGCTGACATTTCTGGACTACTTAGGTAGGCATTGTTCTAAACACTTACATTTATTATCTAATTTAATTCTCTCAATGACCCTAGAAGGTAGGCGCTGTTGTCATTATTTCCATTGTATGATGGAGAAAATATTGAGGCCCAGAGGGTTCAAGTAACTTGCCCAAGGTCACCCAGCTAGTACACAGTGTGATGTGCATGGGTTCAAACCCAGGTAGCCCAATCCAGACCCTATGCTTTTAATGTCTACACTAAACTTCTAAGTGTGTCTACATAAAACATACTTTGTTTTGTCAAAAGTGTAGTTTTGCAGTTTATCCATTCTCTGCCTCTGCCCAGCAGAATACGCACTTGTTGCCTCTGGATGGGGCAGGGCCTTGGGCTGCTCTGACCCTCAGACCACTGGCTGCCGTGTGCTAAGGTGGAGAAAGGAGGGCAAGATTCGGCCGGGATAAGAAAATGTGCAGAAAAGGGGGCGTGAGGGGGTTTCCATTGGTAAGAAGATCCACAGGGCTGCAAAAGCGAGGAAAGGGCAGGCCCAGCACTGGGGACCTTGGGTGGGAATAGCCTAGCTCCACTACAGGTGGACCCAACCTGGAATGGGGGAGGGAGAAGCTAGGTCTGCAGGAGACCACAAGGCTAAGGGACACTGTACTCAAAGCCCCAGCCAGGTAGAGATCCTTTTCCTCCGGTAGCACAACTAACCCCATGCCCTCTACGACATTCCAGAATGACGGGTCAAGAGGCCCTGCTGCTTGGCTGGGCCATGGCTGGGATCCTGGCACTGCAGACCCTGGCAGCAGCTGAGCACTCACAGTGGTCTCTAGGCAGCAAGGCTGGGGTGTTCGCGGACCTGAGCGCAGAGGAGCTGAAGGCCGTGCACAACTTCCTTTGGTCCCAGAGGGAGCTGGCACTGCAGCCTGCCAAAGCCCCAACCATGGCCAAGAACTCCATCTTCCTCATTGAGATGCTGCTGCCCAAGAAGCAACACGTGCTGAAGTTTCTGGACAACGGTGAAAGTCGTCCTGCCCGGGAAGCCCATGTTGTCATCTTTTTTGGAGCCCAGGAGAAGCCCAACATCACTGAGTTTGCAGTGGGACCCCTGCCATACCCCCACTATATGCGAGTACTGTCCCCTAGGCACAGGCACCACCCTTCCTGGGCGTCCAGGCCTGTCTCCACCACTGAGTACGTCCTCCTGAACCACATGCTACAGGAAGCCACGAAGCCCCTGCACCAGTTCTTCCTCAATACCACAGGCTTCTCCTTCCGAGATTGCGGAGACCGGTGCCTGACCTTTACCGATGTGGCCCCCCGAGGCCTGGCTTCTGGCCAGCGCCGAAGCTGGCTTATCCTGCAGCGAGAAGTGGAAGGCTATTTCTTACACCCCACTGGGATGGAGCTACTTGTGGACCATGGGAGCCAAGATGCCAATGACTGGGTGGTAGAGCAGGTCTGGTACAATGGGAAGTTCTACAGGAGCCCAGAAGAACTAGCCCGCAAGTATGGCAACGGAGAGGTGGATGTGGTGGTTTTGGAGGACCCACCACCCTCTGGCAGCGAGGAGCCCCCAGTCTTCTCTTCCTACAGGCCCCGTGGGGCCTTCTCCACACCCACCACTGTGAATGGGCCCCGCCTGGTCCAGCCCGAAGGCCACCGCTACCAGCTAGAGGGCAATGCAGTGCTCTATGGGGACTGGAGCTTCGCCTTCCGGCTGCGCTCCTCGTCGGGGCTGCAGATCTTGGACGTGCGCTTCGGAGGAGAGCGTGTCGCCTATGAGGTGAGTGTGCAGGAGGCAGCGGCTCTATATGGAGGACACACGCCAGCAGGCATGCAGACCAAATACATGGACATGGGCTGGGGCATGGGCAGCGTCACACATGAGCTAGCCCCTGGCATTGACTGCCCGGAGACCGCCACCTTCCTGCACGCCCTCCACTATTACGATGCTGATGGCCCTGTATACTACCCCCGGGCCCTCTGCCTCTTCGAGATGCCCACGGGGGTGCCCCTTCGGCGGCACTTTGATTTCAACTCCAACGGAGGCTTCAACTTCTATGGAGGGCTGAAGGGCCAGGTGCTGGTGCTGCGAACCACTTCCACAGTCTACAATTATGATTACATTTGGGACTTCATCTTCTACCCCAATGGAGTAATGGAGGCCAAGATGCATGCCACTGGCTATATCCACGCCACTTTCTACACGCCTGAGGGGTTGCACCACGGCATGCGCCTGCACACCCACCTACTTGGCAACATGCACACCCACCTGATGCATTACCGCATAGACCTGGACGTGGCAGGTAAGACTCAGGCAGGGAGCAGAGTGGCACCCTGCTGGTCAGGCAGCCTTCACAGGAGATGGTGTTAAGGCTCTCCTGGGACATAAAACCATGAGCATTTGCCCAGCGTGCTCTGCGAAACCAGCAGTGCTACAAGTTGTTTTGCCCTGAAAAGTGGTGACAGTTAATAGTGCCAACTTTTTACCCTGGATGTAACACTGTGAACTGTGTCCCCACCCGGGGCTGCTGACCATATAACGTTGTTGTCGTTAACTGCCGTTGAGTCAGCCCTGACTCATGGTGACCCCATGCACAATGGAACAAAAAACACTCCCCTGTCCTGAGCCATCCCCATGATTAGATACTGATAGAACTGTTGTGATCCATACGGTTTTCACTGGCTGATTTTCAGAAGTAGATTGCCAGGCCTTTCTTCCTAGACCATCCTAGTCTGGAAGCTCCACTGAAACTTGTTCAGCAGCACAGCAACACACAAGCTTCCACTGACAGATGGCTGGTGGCTGTGCTTGAGGTGCACTGGTCAGGAATCGAACCGGGGTCTCCTGCACGGAAGGCAAGAATTCTACCACTGAATCACCCTGTCCCCAATGATCCTAAAAGAGGAGGATTAAATAATGCCCAGAAGTGTAAGAAACAGCTGACTAGCATTCTGGGTGGGGGCCCTCATCCTGTCTCTTGGATTAAGGATGTCCCTGTAGAGAGTGTAGCATGACATACATGACATAACTAAGACACCCATTCTCCCTTTTGGCCCCAGAGAGGTGCTAGACCCCGTCTCTCAGACCTGGAAGCTACCCTCTCTCGAGGACATAGCCACAGACATCAGGCTCAGGGCTAGCTCCTTGGAGGAGCCACCCAGAGTCACAGCAGAATTGCCATAGCTGCCCTAACAACATATGACCTTCCACTCCCACACCCAGCTCAGGGCATGCTCCCAAAATATTCTCTTCACCCCTAACAGCGCCTAGCTTTGTATGCAGTTCAGGATGGCCATCCCAGTGCAGAATGACAGCATTTCAGGTTGGGAGCTTGATCCTCATTCTCCTTTTTCCTGCACACCTCCAGGCACCAAAAATAGCTTCCAGACGCTAGAGATGAAGCTACAAAACATCACTAACCCCTGGAGCCCAGGACACCGCCTGGTGCAGCCCACTCTGGAGCAAACGCAGTTCCACCAGGAGCGCCAGGCTGCCTTTCACTTTGGGCGGGCCCTGCCCGAGTACCTGCTCTTCACCAGCCCCAAGAAGAACACCTGGGGCCACCAACGCAGCTACCGCGTGCAGATCCATTCCATGGCCAGCCAAGTGCTGCCCCAGGGCTGGCAGGAGGAGAAGGCTGTCACCTGGGCCAGGTGAGCTGGGGGGGGGGCGGGCAGAGAGAGTGTGTCTTTGTGTATGCGTCTGTGTGTGTGCCTGTGCCTCTGCCCGTGTGTGTGTGGCTGTGCATGTGTCTATGTGTGTGCCTCTGTGTGTGTGTCTGTCTGTGTGTACATGCCTGTGCACTTGGGAAGCAGGGTGAAGAACCCCATGCCGAACACCCTGAGCCTCTGCTGACAGTGGCCGACTCACTAACTCCCAAGAGATGATCTCTCATTTTGGGAAGGCAGTAACCTTCTCCCACCATTGACCTGAAGATGTCCCCTAGGAGAGGCTAGGAGCCCCCCTAGACCCAGAGCCACCTGGCTTTTCCTCTGCCTGGCAGGTACCCACTAGCAGTGACCAAGTATCGGGAGTTGGAGCTGTACAGCAGCAGCATCTACAACCAGAATGACCCCTGGGACCCACCTGTGGTCTTTGAGGAATTTCTTCAAAACAACGAGAACATTGAAAATGAGGTACTGACCTTGTCCCCCAGCCCTGCCCCCAGCCCTGCCCAACTCTGGCCCTGCCTTCTTCCAGCTTCAGCCCCAAGATCACCCTCACCAATGGGGAGTCCTAGCTGCCCTCTGCCGGGACCTGTTCTCACCCTGGGACAGGAAGGGAGAGCACGTCTGGAGGTCATTATAGAGCTTCCCACCCCTAAAACGGGGCTTGAGAAGATGCAGAAAGGTTCTTGGCGTGACAGACAGTGCCAAACCAAAAAAAACAAACTTTTTGCCATTGAGTCGATTCTGACTCATAGCGACCCAATAGGACAGAGTAGGGTTTCCAGGGAGCAGCTGGTGGATTTGAACTGCCAACCTTTTGATTATCAGCAGTAGCTCTGAACCACTGTGCCACCAGGGATCTGAAAACGCCCAAGGGCCCCAGCGGCCTCTAGTGGTCAGGGCTCAGCACCGCCCCATTGAAGACCACTCCCTTCTTCTGTCTGAACCACCCCACCTGCTCACTCTCTTTCTCCCACAGGACCTAGTGGCCTGGGTGACAGTGGGTTTCCTCCACATCCCCCACTCAGAGGACATCCCTAACACGGCCACACCTGGAAACTCTGTGGGCTTCCTGTTGAGGCCCTTCAACTTCTTCCCAGAGGACCCGTCCTTGGCGTCCAAAGACACTGTGATCGTGCGGCCCCAGGATGGAGGCCCCAACCATGTCCAGCGCTGGGTTCCCGAGGAGGCGAGGGGCTGTTGGATGCCTCCCCCTTTTAGCTACAATGGAACCTACAGGCCTGTGTGAAGGGCCCCTGACCCACCTCCCACCAGGGAACCTTCATCCTTAGGATTGACAATAAACACTTTTGACCATGCTGTGAGCTGCTTGGGGTGGAGTGGGGAGGTGGGGGCGGGGGGGAGCGGCAAGGGACATGAGTGTGCAGAGGTATAGTCACATAACCTGGGGCTCCACTCACACTTGGTCCACTCCATCCCAGAAAAGACCTCCCCAAAACCTGTTGCCATCGAGTGAATTCCAACTCATAGTAACTCTATAGCGACCCTAAAGGACAGAGTAGAACTGCCCCATTGGGTTTCTAAGGAGCAGCTGGTGGATTCGAATTGCCAACCTTTTGGTTAGCAGCCAAGCACTTAACCACTGCACCACCAAGGCACCAAAAAGACCTCCACTACTACCTAAAGTGGGGCTCACTGAAATACTCGCATTTGCCTATCAGATTGGTTTAAAAAAAAAAAAAAACTAAGGCTGACAACACCCCTCTGGGGAGGCTGTGGGAAGACTCCTTGCATTGCTGCTGGACATGCAAAGTGGTGCAGGCACAAGAAAGATAGGAAATCTACCAAAATTACCAATGTGTTTGCCCTCTGACACACTAATCCTACTTCCAGGACTTTATCCCAAAGCTCCACCTACACACACTAAAAATATGGTACAAGGTTATTCACTGCAGCATTGTTTGCAATACCAAAAGACTGGAAAAAGACTGGAAGCAACCCAATGTCCATCTATAGGAGAATCCAGCTGACTAAACTATGGCACATCCATACAACACAGTACTAAGTGATCGCAAGAGAAATATGTGGATGTTTTCAACTTACTTACATGGAGAGATCTTCAATATTTATTAAATAAGAAAAGAAAATAGGTACAGAAACAATAGCATATGCTTACTTTCATGTAAGAAAAGAGGGGAGGAAATATATATGTATATTTATGTAAATAAATAAATATATATATATATATAAAACCAAAAAATAAAAAATAAACCCATTGCCATCAAGTCGATTCTGACTCATAGCGACACTATAGGACAGAGTAGAACTGCCTCATAGGGTTTCCAGGGAGCGCCTGGTGGATTTGAACAGACGACCTTTTAGTTAGCAGCTGTAGCTCTTAACCACTATGCCACTAGGAAATATATAAATTAGCTTGTAAAAATTCTAGAAAGATACACAAGAAACTAATAAAAAAAAAAGTTACCTATAGATGATGAGAAGAAATGGGGTGGCTGAGGACAGGGATGGGGTTAGTTTTTAATTATGTGAATATATGACCTATTCAAAAAAATTAAAACCTAAATTTTAAAAGAGGAAGAAATGGAGGAAGGGAAGGAGAGAAAACTGCATCTCCTAGTGCTGACTAATGGAACTATAATGGTATTGTAGTAGGTGGCCAGGATGGATGTGGTAGACAATAATACCCCCGACAAGATGTCCGTGTCCTAATCCCTGGAATCTGTGAATATGTTACTTACATGGCAAAAGGGACTTTGTAAATGTGATTAATTTAAGGATCTTGAGGTGGAAGATTATCCTGGATCATCTGGGTGGGCTTGATGTAATGATGAGGGTCCTTATAAAAGGGAGGCAGGGTATCTGAGAGGATAAAAGAGGCTACGCTGCTGGATTTGAAGATGGAGGACAGGACAACAAGCCAAGGAATGTGAGTGGACTCTGGAAGCTGGAAAAGGAAAGGCAAGAGATTTCTCCTCTAGAGCCTCTAGAAGGAATGTGGCCCTGCTGACTTGTTTTAGACCTCTGATCTCCAGTATTGTGAGATAATAAAACTGTATTGTCTCAAGTCATTAAGTTATAGCAGTGATAGAAAAGGAATACTATGGATGTGGAGGAGAGCTGATGGAGGAAAGCAGAACAAGCAGATGGAGAGAGTCATCTCACACTGCCCTCCAAACGCTGTGAGTCCTGGATGCTGCCAGAGCTGTCACCCAAGGCAAGGCCAGGACAGCACCCTCCAATGGGGTCAGCAACAGTTGGCCAGGTAATGAAAGGTCCAGGGGCAGCCAAGTCAAACAGGGACCTAGGCTGGGTCCTGGCTCCTAAACTGGACATTAAATTATCATAGTGGAACACTAAGCGAAAGCGAAAGCAAAATTTTTATTGAGGAATAAGATTCACGAATTGAGATACACTAAAGCACCCAGGTAGGGTATAATAGTGTTCTAAATTGTAAGAAGAGACCAAGGTTTTTGTCGGGTGGAGTAAACAAAGGACTACTTGCTTGAAGGAACAAAGGGGAAGGTACATGGCAAAAAGTTACAAGACTTATTAAACTATAATTCTTCTTAACAGTATCAATTTTATTTTTTAAATTCTTGGGTTATGTTGACCAAGGCATACTTCTTGGATCAAGCTGCCGAAACGTTCTTGACAAACATCTGTCAACAAATGTTTCTTAGTCAAACTACAGTCCTGATCCTCAACACTTCCTCTTTCTGTGTTACAAGCAGTTAAACTTTTACAAGAAGCTAAATTGTCTTTTTAGAGTAACAGAAGCAGATTTTAAGCCCAAGTTGTAGTTTAACTCAAAATAGAGTTTAATTTAGAACTGAAGTCAGCCATCTTAGTCATGCCAAGCACTTCGGGTTTTGGGGGTTCACATACAAAATAAAACAAATCCTGACCTTTCTCTTCCTTCAGGAGAACAGAAAGGAAGGATGTGATTGGTTTAGATAAACATTTTTAAGGAGGCTCAGTGAGAGCAGAGTTGGGAATCAGAGGTGTTCCCTGGGGTCAGGGGCTCCTTTACACAGGCTGAGTCATATATGTATGACCGTTGCCACCCCAGCCACACCAAGCGCAACTTGAAGACCTATACCCACTGCAGGCACCATGTGGGGCCTGTGGAGAGACTGAGCCACTGATGGCCAAAAAACACACATCGCAAGCTGCACATACTCACCTGCAGAGGGCTCCCTTCATCTCCCCTTTATGTGTGTCATCACCCCCTAATAATGATTTTGGTGACAACAGCACCATCACCCCACACAACCTACCTCTACTGGGAAGAGCAGAAGAGTCTGCGCTTCATCCCTGAGAAACCAGCCCAAGGTCCCAGGGGCTACACTTCCCTCCCTTGCAGACACAGGTCCCAGGCATCCTCATAGGCCACCACTTCCAGCATCCTTCCTTTGAGTCCCTGGTTTCTACTTCCCAGAATTGCTCTCAGTGCTCACCCTTCCTTTAAGCATTATACAAACCCAAAAGGTGACTGACCAAGATAAAAAGATGAGGAAAACAAAGCATCTGCCCTCAAAATGCCCACCATCACGTGGGATAAGGCCAGAGAGCCAGCACATGAGAGGTGCTCTAGTGTGAGATCTGACTCCTCTCAGACAGGCATCATCTTTTTTTTAATAAAGGCTTAGTCTGACCCAAGAGTTGCAAGTGGCCCAAAGAAATGTCACATATAACTTGGCCTTGGTTAACTCATTCAGTGAATGTTTACTAGGTGACTACTGGCATTCCCAACTACACAGCCTCACGCTGAACTTTGAGGCCAGCCCCATTCAGTCGGCTAATTCTTCCTGGGCACAATTACACATGTGAGTACACCAGCTCAGCTATGGGCCTGCCTCCGGTTGGGTAACTGAGAGAAGCCTCCAGCCCTGATCAGGAGAGGGAACCCCCAGAAACAGACTGTCAGGAACCCTCAGGACAAGCCTGGCTAATCCTCCAAACACTTGGAAGCTCTGAGAAGCCCCATGTCAAGTTAAGTGGTATGGCCCACCCAGCCAACCAAGGGACCTAAATAGCTTCCTAGCCTCTGTAGGGACAAAAGGTAGCATAAGCAGGGCAAGGTAAGCATGGTGTCAACCAAGAAACTCTGGATTCCGAGTTCTTCCACCAAGACAGTGCTGGACAACTTTTCCATAAACCTCTAAGTGCCCAGGGGACCAAGCCCTCTGTTTCCATGCCCCTCTGCCTTTGGATGTCCTTAACCCTATCTTCTTGGCTTAAGCTTCAAACCATTCACTTTTCCTTCCTAATGTTTGACCAGACCTCACCTACCATCCAAGTAAGCAGTTTGCTCTTGTAGAGGCTTCTGCCTACCAGGGCCAGCTACGGAATCTGTAGGGCCCAGAAGGAAATGTAGGACCCTTTGTTGAAAAATTATTAAGAATACCAAAACGAGGACAGCAGAGCATTAAACCAAGTGTGTTGAGTCCCTCTGAGCTCAGGCCCACACCCTGCTGTCTACATCTACTGCCTGCCTCAGCCACGTCAGAGCATCAGGCTGCTTCTTGGACTGTGTTTCTCATAGTGACAAAGCAATATAGGATATAATATTCTCACCAAAGCACTTCCTGCCCCTAGAAGGTGATATATATTTATTCAATCAATATGGCAGCTGTGTAAACATTTCTTTTTAACTAGACCAAGTTTATGCAAATTAGAGTAATTATCCACCTAACCATAAGTTTTCTTGGCAGTAAACTTTTTACTAAAAAGACATGATCAGTTAAACATTTCTCTCAACTGTAGGTCCCTCAAGGACCTACCCTAAACTCTTGGCTACTTACCAACTGTTTATCAGAGAAACGATATAAATTATCTCATTAATCTCTCCTCTTAAATTTTCTCTGCCTCTCCCATTTAGGGGGCAATGTTTGTAATTTGTTGCCACAAATGTGATAGTTGATTTACTCTTTTAAACCTCACTAATTCCCTGCCTGTGATGGATGAGGTTGTGTGTCAACTTGGCTGGGCCATGAGTCTCAGGGGTTTGGCAGTTATAATGTAATTTGGCAGTTATGTAATGATGTAATCAACTCCATGACGAGATCTTCTATGAGCAGCCAATCAGGTGAAAAGGACTTTCCTTGGGGGTGTGGCCTGCCTCCAGTACATAAATTGATGATCCAGCAAGGCTCTCGCTCTGGATCTTGCATCCAGCAACATCTCACCTTCAGTTCTTGGAACGTGAGCAAGCAGTTTACCTGCCAATCTTGGGATTCATAGCCTCTGCAGGCTGTGAGACAGTTGGCCACTGTCTGACCTGCTGATCTAGAGTTCGTCAGTCACTGCAGCTCCATGAGTCAGGAGTAGCC